TTCGGGTATAGGAAACCATATCGTCCCGTTGGTGGGTTTGGAGAGGTTGACGTGTTTGTATCCATTGAGTTGGGGAGCCGTCTTGATGTGCTTGGGTCTATATTAATAAACACTGTATGCTCAGTGCTCGTCTTGACAATAGTCAAGCATACAGTGTTTATTAATATATACGTTGGGTAAGGGCAAAACCCGTTATATAGATTAACATCTCCCCAACGCAAAAATACATTTTGAAAACTGTAGATTTGTAAGACATTAACTGTTGATTCGTGACGAATCTCCAGTTATTGTCTTGCGAATCTATAATTATTGTTGGCAACAATAACTATAGATTCGTAGCTTACGAATCTACAGTTTGCCGTAGATTCGTAAAAATAATCTACACTTTGAATAAAGTAGTGACGTCACAGACATAGTTTAATCATGAATAACCTTTCAACAGCGAGAGAAAGCAAGCGTTTTATACTGTTTGTGCTGCAAGTATAGTTTTTATTTACGTTCATGCAAATACATGTCATTTAAGTAATGCTTAACCAAAGCAGATAACCCACACAACAGTCCCTAATTCGCCTCCCAGGCCTTACACCCCCGAATACACGCGTTTCACGGAATTCGTAGCCCGATGGCGCCAGGCGTTAATAGTGTAATTCTTCAAAATTGTGTAACGCCGAGCCCGACATACCGTCCTCAAACACTGCTAAGATTCGCGTATTGGCGAGCTCGTACACATCTGATTTCTTGCTCCTCAGGAAAAAACAAAGGGTTCACAGAGGATCATGAACGTGATGATCAATCTTCCACTTCACGGCAACTATTCACTTGCTCTTCATGTACAAAAGCACCGCTCCCCATTAGGTTCCCGTAAGAATCCAGGCCCTTTACGTCAGCTTTGAGGCATAAATGTCGAAGTGGCAGTGTGGCGACCAGAAGGGCTTCGAAGATCAGAGACAGAAAGGGCCTGGAACAGCTCCAAGAGACGCCGCCGCTCGCGGACTAGACAACAGCCTGTAGACGCTAGCTACTGGCCTGGGTGAAAAGGATAGGTTGTTTCCATGGCAATGTGACACGATCATAAGTCGATAACGAAAAAATCCCCCTGCAACTTACGAGGTGCAAAATTACGGACAGAGGTAGTCGTATACATTCGCAATAAAATATTCATGACCGTAACAGGAGAGTAAATTCAGTTACACGTGCCATCAACAATGGTCAAAAATAAACATTATCGATAATTACTTGTAAAATAAACATACATACACAGTTGACTCTCGATATAAAGAGCACCGTTATAAGAAAACAGTGTCAAAGAGTAAATTTTGAGCAGCTGAATATTTTGAATAATGTTTTTCTTTGTTTTTCTTCGCCTTTGATAACAAAGTCATGGTTATCACAAGGTAATTTTTTTCTAGCCACTGCACGTTTGTTATAACGAGAGTTGACTGTATCATTGGAGAGTAATCAAAACTCAGAACTCCGTACTCTATTTTGGGCAGCTGATTCAGATGTGAATATCTATGAGGAAATGAACTTGAAAACAATACAGGGCAGATCCCCAGCGTACAAGGGAGCATTTCTTGCTAATGACAACAAAACGTTGTGTCAAACCACACATTCCTCTCATTCGAATAAAGAAATGTTGACAATACTGCTAATCGTTTTCCAAATAGCAGTAGGCCTATGGCAAACATTTCTCAGAATCACGACGATAGTTTTGGCACGGTTCCACTGTAGCTTAGTGTACAATAAAAGCTTCTAGAATAAACTCCTCCAATATATACAAAGGCTAAATACATGTATATTAATAAATGTACAACTGTGAGACACGTTATGGTAATTACTTAACCACCAGGAAGACGTTTTGCAATCAGAGAAACATTTCAAAGTCTTCATGTACTAGAGGCAAAATTCTATTGTCCGAAGTAGGATAGATAGAGATTCGTTTGACCAGGATATAGGGAAAAAGTGGGGGACAGGTCGTCGAAGTTGGAAACACGTTGTGCACACAAATTAAGAACTCCTTAATTAAAAAACCCCAATGAGAGCGAGCATTTCGTTAATGTCTTCAATAAACACATATGAAGCCAACTTTATACATCCAAAGCTCAAAAGTAATGTTGAAGGCTGGGATTCTCGTCATATCTATCATTACAATCACATATACACAGCATTAAAGATACAGTTTGTGTGGCAATTGCTTTTTCCGTACTGAGGGATACAAAATACATGTACATAGAGTCTGACCGAACATTACAAAACAGGTAGAAGAGCCAAGTGGATCCAAACCATTTTTTTTGGGGGGGGGGAATTTTATTGGGGATAAGAGCCCCAAAATTCTCATTTTTTCTGCAACCTTTCATGGCCTTTCTACAGGTTGAGGCTACATTTGGTGCTTTGTATATGCTTCTGAAGGAGGGGACAGGAAATCACAAAATTGCCTTTCACTTCAAAAAAACAATTGTTTGCTTCTTTAATGTGGGAGTACCATGACCCCATTGACCCCACATCCGCCCTTGAGAATAACAGAAGCCAAAAATGAAATGCCAATAATTTTATACAAATATGTACATCGGACATGAGAATATAATTTGAACAGTTTTGAATGCCAATAAAATGTCAAGTTTGTAACAATGTTCATCCTCAGCACTACTTGCTACTGGGATGGTACTACTCAAGCAAAATGATGCCCTGGTTCTTAAAATTGTCTGTACTGTAACATCACATTTCTGGTTCAAAAGATTTTATCCTATCTGATTACATGATAAAAACAGGAATTGGTCCAACAAACGAGTCTAAAACTCCCTCAAAATTCTTGCACTGTCATTCAGTTTCTCTGGATACATATTTACAATCATTTACGATAAGATGGCCAGGTACTCTAGTGCCTTAATCGTGATACCACACTTGGTCCTTGTTATAACATCTCACTCACAGACTGCATCTTTATTGGCTAAGAACTAGTCACATGGTATTCACTATATTGTTGTGCATGGCCAAAAGAACCATACTTGTAATAACCAAAATACTCTACGAACAGCAAAAGCTTTTGTGTATTACATACAGATGAGCATGTTGTGCATCTTTCCAAGTCTGATAATAAAGAGCTAGTTTCAAACATTCTGTGCAGAGATA